CAAAAAAAGGTACGAAGAAAGAGAAGAGTCAGACATTCAACCTACCCCCTGACGCCAAAACAGCATTCGAAAAGCAAAGTTGATGATATCTAATGCTACCATGCTACAGCACCTAAACACCGATCCCACAACAAACCTTATCCTCTGCACTGACGCCTCCCAAAAAGCAGTAGGAGCAGTATTACAGCAATGCGTTAACGACAAGATTACTCCTATAGCGTTCTTTTCCAAACGATTATCATCAACTCAAGAGCGTTATAGCACCTTCGGACGCGAACTTCTGGCTATGTACTTAGCTGTAAAACACTTCAACTTCCTGCTTCAGGGACGTGATTTCACCATTATGACTGATCATAAACCACTTTGCTATTCTTTCAACACGTCCTACGATAGACATTCTCCACGGGAAGCCAGACAACTGGATTACATTTCTCAATTCACTACGGACATCCAGTTCATCAAAGGCTCCTGCAACATTGTCGCTGACGCTCTATCTAGGAATGATATCAACATGGTGGTACACAACCACGACATCAGCCTTGAAGCTTTAGCTAAACTACAAGTGAATGATGCAGATTTGAAGACCTGCAAAGAGAAGTCTAACTTGAATCTTAAACCTGTACCCATTCCTTTCTCAGACGCATCTATTATTTGCGACACTTTAACGGGTAACAATCGCCCCATTGTGCCACAAACCTGTCGACGAAATATATTTCAACAGCTACATGGACTGTCGCATCCAGGCATCAGAGGTACCACGAAGCTTATCACAGAACGCTTTGTTTGGCCAAAAATCAATTCGTATGTTAAACGATGGACACGTAACTGCCTCCAGTGCCAACGCAGCAAAATCCAAAAGCACACTATCAGCCCGATCGGGGAATTCCCTATTCCCGACAAACGTTTTCAACATATTCATTTGGATTTAGTTGGGCCTCTGCCACCATCAAACTCTTTCACACATATCCTCACCGCAATAGATAGGTTCACAAGATGGGCCATAGCATGCCCCATTAAAGACACATCGGCAGAGACAGTGGCTTCAGTTTTCCTCGACCGCTGGATATCTAACTATGGAGTACCATCAATAATCACAACAGATCGTGGTCCCCAATTTCAATCTGTCCTTTTTCAGGAGTTCACTAAACTTCTAGGGGTCAACCACAATAAAACCACAGCTTACCACCCAGCAGCTAATGGCATGGTTGAAAGATTCCATCGCCAATTAAAAAGCTCACTGATGGCGCAAGCTGACTCATCAAAGTGGAGCGATGCCTTACCGCTTGTACTCCTCGGTATTCGTTCAACCATAAAGGAATACATTGGATGTACAGCCGCCGAGTTAGTCTATGGTACAACTCTAACGTTACCTGGTCAAATAGTCAATCATGAACCTACAACGCACGGGGATTCTACTCACTTCGCAAGCCGCCTATTACAAATGATGCAGAACATCAGAGCAATACCACCTCGAGAATACAACAACCGAGCCCATCTTGATAAACATTTAGAAACGTGCAAATTTGTTATTGTTCGAGTAGACGCGGTAAAAAAGCTACTGACACCACCATATGAAGGCCCTTATAAAGTAATAAAACGCACTCACAAATATTTCATTATCAACAAAAATGAGAACAATGAGACAATTTCCATAGACCGAATAAAACCAGCTTTCTACGAAGTCCCTCAAGATACAGAAGACAATGCTACGAACAAACAATCACTCCCATCTATTGCTAAGAAACAAGAGGAAGAGGAAAAACTTAGCACTACCCCCTCTTGTTTAAGACGTTCTGGGAGACTTATAAAAAAACCAAAGCGTTACGTACATTTTGCCATATAAAAAAACTAAAACAATCAAAGCAAACTATTATCGAGGACCTACACTATCAATCTCATTTAAAAAAGTTTTTTTCTTTTCACAATGTTCATAATTAATCACATTTTTCCACAATTATTCGTTTTGTCACATTAAAAAAAAAAATTTTGTTACAATAATAAACGAGTAAACTCTATTTAATTATTTATTCATTGTACACAAAAATAAACAGTTCAATTTTTTTTGTGTGTGTGGGTCATTAACAGTTCTGCACATTATTATCATTGTTAGCAAACCAAAATTTTAAATGATGGTATTCTCAGTACTTTTGTTTGTCATGCTATGCCACATCACCGCTATTTTCACGCAATAACACACTGTATATTATTAACGTACATGTCATACGCATCTCCACATTGTTTGTTGGTTATTATTGTAAATATTATTTTTTTTGTATAAAATTTTTTATTGTTGTTATTGTAACCAGTGTTACATCCGGACACTCTGAGGGGAGCTATGTGGAGATATGACTGACAAGCTTATTTTGTAAATAGTTTTCAATGTTATTTGTATTTGTTTTGTCAATTTTTCACTGTATGTACATTCATCATTAAATGACTGTACGTGTTGTTTTAGTCAATCACCTTGAAGACACTTTCCGTTGTGATTCCAACATAGCGTGACATATTCATGCTGGCTAACAAATACATTACTACTCACACATCCCTCGTTCTATTTTCGTTTGTGATTGAGTTAGCTGAAGTCTAAATCAAATATTGTCATTACTTATAGACTGTAATTGGAATATATCACATTCTACGTGGGATTATATCACTAGAGAGTTCGCCAACCTGCTCAGAATCATCAAGCATTTATAATTGTGGATTAACATTACCGGACCTAATCAGAACACGCAACGTTTGGTCAATTTAAGTAACGTCCCTAATTTTTATTGTATTTGTAATAATTAACTGTATATATTAATATTATTATTGATCTTTAATAACTTTGTTTATACTTTTCGCGTTCATATCTGTCTGGTCCACCACAATTATTTGGTGAGCCTCGATTTTTTATAGACATCTAATATATATCTACATATTTGTTTATTATTATTAATTGGCACGACACACCATTTTTTGTTTTTGACATTATGAACTCTCTCAATAAACTTGTCGATATAGATAGCCCATCAACCAACCCCTTTCATTCATCACAGCCAGAAGATAATGTTTTAAACTCAATCAACGCTATTTCTGAACTAAGATTACCAACATACGGTGTCAACAACCCTAGAATTTGGTTTGCTCAAGTAGAGGCACTATTTTTGGCGACGGGTATACGTTCGCAAGTGACTAAATATGCCTACGTCGTCGGTGCACTACCTATAGAAGTATCAACGGAAGTTGGTGACCTGATAGATAACGTACCAGAAACTGACCCTTATGACAAAATAAAAGCTGCGGTAATCCAACGCACATCACTGTCAGACGAAAAAGATTTGCAACAACTGCTTACCTCGTGCGAGCTAGGGGATAAGAAACCTTCACAGTTGCTCCGACACATGCGACAGCTAGCCGGCCCTCACAAATTAGACGAGACGCTGCTTAAGCAAATGTGGTTACAAAGGTTACCACATAGTGTTAGACAAATCCTCAGTATATCAGGAACCTCCATCATCCTCGACGACTTAGCTGACATGGCTGATAAAACGATGGAAATATATCCCGATAGTCGCGGAATCTACGCGGTACAAACCTCTAGTAGAGATGCTATAAACCCCCCTCGGAAAAGCATTGTTTCTATTAACAAGAAAGTAGTGATTCCATTGAATATCTACAATTACTTTAGGAGAAGAGGATAAATGAATCTCATTTTAAAGGAGTCGCATCAGAAAATACTCCTTATCGTTAAAAATTTATTCATGTAAGAATAATACTCTGATTATTTCCCAATTATTTATTAATGATGCCAGCTAAAATATAAAACATATGTACTGATTCTCGTTAAAAGTTTTCGTTTCTCCACACATACACATATACAGAATAGACGTACCTTACTCGTGTGAATGAGAATAAATTTATCGTAATCACTTTCTTTTTAGTATCAGAAAAGGCTTTGTGAAGATTTTAGTAATTTTAATGGTTGGAATCATAAGGCAATTGAAGGTAGACCACCATGGAAAACCTAGAAGCACTGAACGACCGTTTCTTCCTACTGTGGGACTCCTCAGCAGTGCTCATCTACGACCCATGGTAGTCTAGCTTAAATTGACTCATCATCTCAACCATTGAAGCTTTCTTTTTAGTATAAATATTATCTCTTTTAAATCCCTGAAATAGATTAACTATATTAATTACCGTTATTAATCGGATTGTTTGTAGGGTTAATTTAGTATTGTTCTTTGTATAGTTTTGATATGGGCAATATCGATATTGCAAAGGTCATATGATTGATTTTCACCTTTATCTTCACCACATTACCACTTAAGATTGTACCTAAAACCTTTATAATCCCATGGTAGAGACGTCAAATTTAAACAATTGAGTTGGCACTCATGGATTCACAACATGAACTTCGGTCAATTTACGACATGCTCTGACAACATCTAGTATCATTGATGATAACTATTTCTCCCCTGACACGTCAGAATCTCATCATCTATAACTTTCCATTGTAATTTGGAGAAATTATATTAAATGAGCACACAATTACACACTTCATCTTTCACTCGATAAATCAATGTCTCAATCACAGCAGGCCATCAATCTATACGATCACTCAATCTGCCAATCATTCAGTGCATCAGTAGCACACACCCTTCCTTCAACCTTTATCCAATGTCTTCCTCACACAGAGAGAGAGAGAGAGACAAAATTTCTCCAAACCATCACGCTTCAGTTACAAACCTACTCACTCTCACCACACCTCACACAACTCTCGATTCATCTCTTTATTTCTATGTCATCGTCAACATGGCACACTCTCTACACATTCATTTCTTACAGCTCCTTCTCAACAAGTGTCTATTCTGATCCAACTAACTAATGACGTTACTTAACCAACTCACTCTCACCAAACCACATCCATATTACACTTGATCGACACCACACCTACAATACCCACTACAGAATCCCAGTCAACAGGATCAATCACACTGCAAACACCACTGACAACACTAATGCAAACAGGTACGTATCCAATTTTCATTTCACACCAAATCAACACACAACACACCTCACACATATTCACATTTTCACTCTACAACTCAACAACTCTGTCGTTCACTCACTCACATACTAACACGCTCACACGCCAACACTCACGCACAACCATCATACAAACTCCACTAGCCTCTTACCCAACTAAACTACTCAATCACGAACAAACTCAATTCTAATCAAAAGACAAACAGTTGAACCACACCACTCACATCTACAACATCCAATATCCATCACTCACTACAACCACACTACTATACCAACTGTCTCCAAAAGTATCACACATCCACATAAAAAATGACTCAATCACTCGATCCAACGAAAGAATATGAAAACAGTTAGATAAGGATTTATTTGACATCGAAAATAAATTAAAAATTAATATCTGAATACATTAATTTCTATATGGTTTACACAGATTAACTGTTAGATTTGTGTACATTAGCTGTGTAGTACTTGACATTAATTGACTAATAATTTACTGAGTAAACATGGAATTAACCATCTACATACAACAGATATAATTGATATGACTACTTCTTAAAATACGATTAAATGTCATTGATGATTGAACAAGAAGAAATCAATGTAATAATTCACTGCCACTTCAATCAATTAGATCTTTGTTCATAATATCAGTTAGGCGTGTCAAAGTATGATAGGTGCAGTAATGATATTTTAAGAGAAATAACAATGATTTACATTCACGTTGAAAATGTATAACACTCTTAGTGGATGTTTGATGATCAATCGTCAACGTCATATCCTTAGTTAATCCCAAACTATGAAAATCTTGAGTGAATGCATATGCATCTAGCTGACGATTCTCCACAAGGACGAAACGCGTGTTGTGGATACCACTGCTAGAAGCTATTCAACTGGAGTAAAAACGACTGCATTAACTACAAATAGAATCAAATGCCACCTGTTAACCTAACGTTCATAATTGCAAAATGAAGTAGAATTGTATGAACTATGTGCATAGATCTTCCGAATTCTTAATTATACCTTACAATTAATATATATTGCTACTGAATAACTTTATGAAATTGATCAGTCTTTGCTGACAGTCAATAGTTATCGACATTTATTTTCGGTTTAATTTAGTTACCTTTACTGACATTAATGCAGGACAACTATGACCCACTAAATAAATTGTTTATCTATTTATACAACATTAACCATAAAATTATTCTAAGGCTTCTTAATGTTATAAACCATTTATAAGAAAATTCGTCTAGATTTGATCGACTGGTTTCACCAAATTTGAGCTCCAAGCTAATATGAAACATTAAGAAGAATGAATGTAATTGTAAAATCTCAAAGAATTATCTGTTCAAATTCATTTGGTATTGTTTTACTTCTATCTTCCCTTTTTTTTAATTCAGGACTGTAATTGATCAGTCTCATGTCGGTAATATGTGCATCCTATGACGATTGCCTTAATATAACCTTAAATCATAAGCTTTTTTAAACAAAGATAGATAGTGGTTAGTAGTGAAATCCAGAATTCGCGTTTCGTCCTATTTGTTCATTTTTTAAAATATTTCAACCAATCAGCTTCTTACAATCTGACAAGTAATTTGATTGGTTAAAAATTCTTATAATAGATTCAAATATATATATATATATATCTTCATTTGATGAACATTTTAAATTCTTAGTTTCTCTTATCACAATGTTATTTATAAGTGATAGAGATTATTTTTAAATATTTTTTTTCTAATTATTCATTTAAAACAACTTTTGAAAGAGAAAAAAACTAAATAAAATTCCTTTTATATACATATTCAATGTTTTCATTATTTATTCAACGGAATAATCATTTAAAACAATCTATTCATTTAATTATATTTTGTTTTTTTTATATAAATTAACAGAAACAATATTACAATATGGTACACGTATTGAAATATATAAAGTTATATGTTTATCATTAATCAATTCAACAAAATTACAACAAACTATTTGTTCCGGTGAAATAACAAATGATAATAATAATAATAATATTAATAATAATGATTCTATAGAAAATCAATTATTATTATATCATGTACAAAGATTATCTGGATATTATTTATTAATTTATCGTATTTTATTAAATTTACCAGCTACAATAGCATGTTTTATTTATGGTATTTATTCAAATCAATATGGTTATAAAATTTCAATGTTAATACCATGTTTAGGTGCAATTATTGCATGTACATTATTTTCTATTAGTTTATTATTAATGAATAATAATTTAATGAATTATTCAATTATATTTATATTAATTGGTGGATTTATATATGGTATATGTGGTAAAAGTAGTGCAATAATAATGGGTGCTAATAGTTATATAACTAATTTAACTCATATCAATAATCGTACATCTATGCTTGGTCGTTTATTAGGTATTAATTGTCTTGGTCTATCTATTGGTACATTATTACTTGGTATATTTTTAACATTTTTCAATTATTCTGATTCAATTATATTTTGTACAATTAATAATTTACTCATTGTTTTAATTTTATTATTTTTGGTTATTGATTCAAATACTAATGAAAATATACCAATATTAAATGATCATTCTTCTTCTCTGTAGCTGTGTTCATAGTCAATCTCGACTCGACCCCAAGCTACATATCTTTGGAGTTTTTCTTGAAACTCTTAGTGAATAAATGTGCAAAAATTTAAAAATTATTTTCTTTAAACAAACAATTACAAAGCGTAACTGATACTTCTACTACTGTAATGAAGAACAGCACAAGTTGTGGACATCCAAACTCATTTAAACATAACACTACACAGTGTCTTGGCAAAATTTGAGAACCATACATAAAATAATTCATCTGCAAAATATTCATCAATTGTCTCGCACTATTTTGTTCCTTCGTTTCCATACCAATCACTCTCTGTAGTCGTTCTCTTCTCTTTGATTTTCTCAACCTTCTACAACTAGGTATTCCACTTTCGATTAGTGATACATACTACTACATCTAGCGATATCAGTAGCACATACCACGACACCATATATCCAATACACGGAATTCTAGAGTCTCACCTGAGGAAGCTTGTTGTACTATTTGACACGAGGTTCGAACCCTGAACTATTCAAAGTGTAATTCGGAACGCGGTTTTAGGAGACCACAAATGATGTTTCATGGAGTCAAATCGTTGGCATTGGCGACGCATAGTGATGAAATCATAGGAAAAAGGTCAGTTGTGTGTGCCGAAGAAATGTTAAGACGTGAAGGACAGATTGACTCATCAATAACACGATGTTCAGTTCTGTCAGAGGTATCAATGGGGTGGTCACTCCCTGGTTACTCACATTATGGGGAAATGTTTCTCCTCAAGGAGGCTAGACAGGAAAGTGGATTGACAGTGGTCATTTTGATCCATCACAATCAAGTAACAACCAAATAAATGTCCAAGAAATAACTACGATAATGTCAAATTTTTTGTCTTATACGCTAAGAAATGTAAATGACAGACAAATGAATCAGATCACATTTGTAAACACCTCCTATCAGAATAAACTGTGTCCATTAGCAACTGATATTTACATGGAAGTCCCCAAAAGAAAATCTATGTCAGGCACATGTTATTACTGTTAAGACCTAAATTGATATCTCAATTTATTGAGACTTAGTTGGATAATGATAAAGAAATTTGAAGTTGACCAATGTTAATTAATCCATTTGAAGTCGACGAGTGGGAATCAGACGTATACATCAAAGTAGTCCATAACCAAGCCGTGAAATTTTTGATGTTGACCATAATACACTGTAATATAAATGAAGCACCTGGGATTAATTTTTCTTCTTCTTGATTTGAAAGTGGGAAAAGAATTCGGGGAAAACATTAAATCTTGTCTGTACAGTTGTGTTCAATGGAACTCCACTTGAAAGGAGAGACATTACTAATGTCGAAACAACTAACACTCGAATACATTTTTACAGTGAATCATGTAATTGTAAGTTGAAGAAAGGAAATCATTGAAATTTTCATTGGTCCACATATTACTCAAAATCAATTGGTTCAGTGTCTCAATGAAAATATCACAGTAATGAATAAAAAGAACTCAGTTGTCTAACATTTATCGTGATCAATCTAACTTCTGATATAACCATTATTATTATTACGAATACTATTTTTACTAATAGTAATGCTAAAGTTACATAACAATATGTTTACTAGGAATAAATCAACAATGAGAAACTTTTGTTCAGTTTCT